TGCTAGATTTGCAATAGTTACCGAGATTTTAATTAACAAAAATCCGCGAATAAGCGTGCATCGGGCTGTCTTACGCGCGTAGGACAGCCCGGCGCGCTTCACACAATTACATTTTAATATGTATATGTTGTAGTATATGTTGTTATATTAGCTCCTCCCATATGTCGCTATGGGTAACACCGTTAGCGCGCGAAGCGCGGCGGGNAGTCTTACGCGCGTAAGACAGCCCGATGCATGCTTATTCGCGGATCTTTGTTAATTAAAATCTCAGTAACTATTGCGAATCTAGCAAAATGGTATAGGACTTTTCACCTCAGTTTTATTCGTTCTACCTGTCTACAAGAGATGTTAAACCAATTCTGGGACACCCTGTATATAAGCAAATTTGTATACATAACTTAAGACTTTTGTAATATTTATATTTTTGTTTAATAGATGGTTAAGCCACTCGACACAACCGCAAGCCAAATACAATATGGTATTCAATAGCATCGGTAAAAAATCTGAATAATAATGTACACTAAAATAGATTTATGGTTATGTTTATTATTACTTTTCCGTTTATTTTGTTATTTTTTTTTTTACGTAGTTCTCACTGCTGCCTTATTACAAAGTCCTGTATATGACCGAAATCGCATTGCGTGAGTATTATTTGTACCATTTTTCGCAAACAAACGTTACAAAAAAACTATTCTCAAAAACTTTTAATTTCATTTACGTAATAGATTAATGAATTACGGAAAAGTGGGATTTATCATTGGACATGAAATTAATCACGCCTTTGATGACGACGGTAAGTAATTTTTCCTGGTATTGTGTCGAGAAAAAGAATCTTATTACACTAATGTTGAGTACAGGTCGTAACATTGACAAAAATGGAAACATCATGCAAACATGGACACAAAAGTCTATCGATGAGTATGAAAATATAACGCAATGTTTCATTGACCACTATAACAAGTATCTGATTCCAGGATTGGAAGGTGCGAATATTCAAGTAAGTAAATTTTTAAAAAACCATACAAATGCAGACAAACTTTTAATTTATTTTTGAGTTATTTAGAAGAATTTCGTTTTTCGACGTTTTAATTTATCTATAATTGTTCCATGGTTTTTTAAGTATAAATACTTGGTTTTTTTTTTTAGGTGAACGGGCAACGGACGCTCGGAGAGAACATGGCGGATGCTGCTGGTATTGTTGCTGCATATTACGCGTACAAGAACAGAAAAGAAAGATTGAATGAAACAGAGTGGCGGCTGCAAGGACTTGAAGATTATAGCGAAGATCAGATTTTCTTCTTGGCGTATGCTCAAGTAAATATCTTTTAAAGAATGTACATTGAGATGTATGGTAACTACGGTCAATGAACGGGCAGTAAAAATACATGGGCTATATATGGAAGTTATTAATATCATTTCTTCTTTTAGTTTTTCTGTGAAAATGCTCTGCCAGAAGAGATACAAAAAATCACTTCTGGCGCCCATTCTGTGAAGGAAATTAGGATTCGCGGCAGCCTTTCAAATTCTCATGAATTCTCCCAGAGCTATAATTGCTCTGTGGGAACTCCAATGAATCCGGAGAAGAAATGTGCCCTTTGGTTCTAAACTGAAGAGACGTAAATGGCACATGCTTATAAATTGTAACGCAATATTTTTTTTGTATAGCAAACATTTTAGAATATTTACATTCGTTATATTTTTAGATATACACACTGACTTCTGCAAAAAAATTAGCAATTTCGGTATAGTAACGATATTCTAGAAGAGAAAAGAATTGTATATTTCTAACCGTATAATTTTAGACACATTTAGTTTAAGTTCAGACTAAATGTAAGTGTATATTGTTTAGATAATTTACGATCTCTCAAAGAATAAGAAATCAAAAATTACAAAACGGTAGATTTCTTTATGTACTTTTGTGAAAATACTATTTGTACTTTTACAGATGTCAGTATGATATCTATATCTCATACGAAACATAAATACATATTTATATGAAAAAAGTTATATGTAACTATTCGTTGAAATAAAATTTACGGTTTTTTTTACACGTAAAAGTCAAAAACAAACATTACATTCTTTTACGAATAACCCAAATATATATTCCAATAAATCACTCAGAGAATAATAATGTATTACGTATAAGTATGTGTACTGTAGTCGTTTTAGTATTTATTGTTCTTATCTATGAATACAACAATTGTATAGAATCGAAAACAAACGAACCATTTTTAAGACTGATTAAAGATTATTGTCTAAAAAATAATACGTCCGTTGCTATTTGTATTATTATTTACAAAGAATAAATTTCTAATTTTTTCTTTCTAGGTTTTTCATATCGCGATGCGATTGCAGTGCATTTGCTTGACGTATAAGAAATTTTGTATATTCGTCGATTCTGTGTGCTAAAAGCAACTCGCGGTGGAGATAGAAATTATACAATACAATAGAGAAAATATATATTAGAGAAGAATATAAAAAAAACTACAATGTACAATAACATACTTCTGTCATTAGTAAGACTATGCCTTATCTTTTTTCTGTTATTCTATACTACAAAGCATTTTTTCTCTAAAAATGTAACAAATTGAAGATTTGCATTGTTGTCTCTCATTCAAAAAACATTATATTAATTTCTTATTACAATTATCTTTAAAATTATAGATATTGTAGATATTTGATGCACATGATGATTATAACACTGACGACATTACATTTTACGTTAGATATGACATTAAGATATTCACAATAATTACACGCAGATCTCTGTAAAAATGTATTGAATAATATACTTTTGTGACTAGTTATAATATAAATTTTGTTATTTCTGTTTCAAACGTACGGCAATACTTGCGTAGCGCCACGCTTTAGCGCCACGCTTAAGCGCTCTTATATACAAACAGAACGCGTTAAGAGCCGTCTACAATGGAGAGTTGTAGGCCGTAACAGTAAGAAATTGACAAATCACAATCGATTATTCTTCTGTACTTTATCTGTGATTGGGCAATTTCTTACTATTACGGCCTACAACTCTCCATTGTAGACGGCTCTTAAAGAGCTCGTTTTTACTTTTTACATTATTTTAATACTTGTGCACTGTACACTTTCTATAGAAGTTACAAATTTTTTGTGGTACTCTACTAGGTTGCACATTCTATTTATTTATTATTCATATATTCATTCCATGATTATATGACTTTTTACATAGTAAAAACCTAGTTTCAATTCATTGATTTTCACTGCGGTATAACATGACTTTTTTCTATTCATGCACTTTATCAATTGCTTGTTTTACGAGAACATTAGTTCAATAACATTAGTAATCTTTCTCTACTGTTAAGTACTATATTGAAAATATTGGAATTTCTTAACCTAATGTCGCGAGATTTGTCATTACTATAACTGTTTTTACAGTTTATTTTTTTATTTGTAGTATGACCTGTTTTACCTAACTATTTGTAGTATGACCTGTTTTACCTAATTTTTTTTTAATTTATTTTAATTTCTAGCTTTTTATGTCGGCCTGTCCCAAGCCTAAAAATACCGTAAAATGCATACTGTTAAAACTTTTAGTTTTCAACCTGTTGTTGTTCTTTTTGTCTTGTAATTATCTAATTTTTTAGCGTATATATCTAGTATTGTAATACTATATATTTATTTAGCTGTTTGCACTTTCTAAAAACAAAACAATTGTCGACATGTGTTCAAAAGGTTCAGTGATCTCAACATATGAGTGCGAAGTCTGCCAGTAGGGAAATCCCGAGTTCAAATCCACATCTTGGATTATTCCGGCCGGTTTTTCTCGTCGAAGTTACCGATCATAATTACGAAATGAATCGCTTTTAAGCAAAGTAATGCTACAGTTTGAAGGTTTGGCGATAGGCTAACAACCTTGCCCTGTGTTTAGAATAGTAACATCGATTTCATTAAAGTATTAATGTTGAAACATACTTATTGATGCTATATACTTTCAAACCCAAGATCCTTAAACATATGTTTTTTTTTGTTCGAAAAATTATCAATATCTACGGAACAGTCGTTTTAGTGCAAAAATAAATACATATCACGATGTAACTGCGTTGTGGAAAACGATCTATAGGTACTCAAATTATATTCGATGTGTGAATATACAAAATGTTTGACAATTATTATAACCTCTTTTGTAGACACGTAGAACGAATAAAACTGAGTTGAAAAGTTTTATAATATTTTACGCGATTCGCAATAATTACCAGAATCTTAATTAAAAAAGATCCACGAATAAGCATGCATTGCGCTGTTTTGCGCATGATAAAGTTGAAGTATTCTATAGGGGTATGCTTTTCAGCATATGACGATAAGTAAACAACAAATCTACGAAAATGTCCTGCTTCATTGTAACACATTTTTATATACAGAAGAGTCCGGTTATTCAGAAAAAAAACGTTATATTGCACAAAAATGTTTCCGATAAAGTAGCTTAAACTTAGTCCGCATTGATACAAACTAAAAATTCGATAAGAAACTCACATAGTTAATTTTGCAAATACACTTTTTATTATAAGTATTTATGTACTAACTATTAATGTTTAAAGTGAGTGGAGATAACTAAACATAATAAATTCTGCCACATTAAATTTGAATTACATTATCTTTATCTGTTTTTACCTACATAAAAAAACTTACGAGTAACATATTTCGTCATACATATGACTGTTTCATATAGATTATTGATAAATGTTTCTTTTTCATATTTTTCATAGTTTTATATACTTACATATTATGTGTTTTTCTATAACGTGTGCTTTATATATTTACTTGTGAGCAATTGGTTAAACTTAAATTTATACTTATTCGCAGTTATGTAAGATGAAATATAGTGTATTATTAGCATTTATTTGACCAAAGATTTAATTTCATTTTATGATTATTTTGCGAATTATTAAATGTATTAAAATCTTTAATTTTCACATTTTAAACATAATTAATAAATAATTTTTTGAGCCATAAAATAAATTAAATCTTGGGTTACAAAAATAACTTTAGTATTAAAAGCAATACATGGATTTCAATTTCTATTTAAATTAAAAAGCAAATGTCTATACAAAACATTTCGAAAAAATCATCGTTACTTGATTAGTAATGTAGTAGATAAGGTATATCCCATATGAGTAATTTCCTTATATTTATAAATGTTCGACGCTTCATAATTTTTTTCATAATGATGTCGTGTATAAATGTTGGCTAAAAAAATATACAAATTATAAATATGATAACATCTTGTATACTTTTGAAAAAGTCTAACACTGTTGAAGAATATATTTTTATCAAAAAACCAAAAATTACTACAAAAGACACCAAATAAAGCCATGTAAGTACGTGTAAACCATTAAAAAAAAGTGATTTAAACACGTAGAACGTACTGAACAATTATAAAATTATTCAGTTTATAAACTTAAATTTGTACAACTATTTTTTAAGTATATTTACAAACTATTTTATAATTATAAACCACCTCTCACCGTTTCTAGATTATATCTGTTGATCAAATTTGTAACCATCACTCGTACAGTCTTAGTAATCTAAAACCACCATGTAATAATAATATTGAATGTAATAACGTGTACCTAACTCAGCATTATATATGTGATTTTTTTACTGTGCTAAACGCCATTTATATAACTTACTAATATACTTTCATTACATACATACATTAAGTTACGTACTCAAATCAAAAAAAGATAGTTTTACAGTTATAGCTATATTAAACAATTAAATTCACATAACGTACCATTTCGGAATCTTCATCTGAATATATGTGGTTAATACTAAAATTCACAACTGCAAGCAGGCCAACCGGTCTTTTAAATAAAACACATATGACAGATAATTAATATAAAATCTTTCTTAGTATTTACATACTCTTGTAAGATATAAAAAACTACTGTATGTAAATTGAATAAACATAATATACATATACAGATATAAACTACATACAAGATGTATAGTGTAAATTATACATATTGTACATACAGTAATAAGATAATACAAACATTAACAGGATTATTTAAAAAACTTTGTTTACCTTAGGAATTTATTTTGTATTTGGCTTAATATAGCATCCAGAAAAGAAAACCTTTTTACGTGCCTTGCAACAATATGGAAAAGAATGCTAACAAAATCACTTTTTTTTCCTAAAGTATGTTCTTGTGCATAACGCACTGCTAATCTATAATTGTGTCCACAAGATAAAAGGTGAAAAAAGTGATTTTGCTTTTCTTGTAACAAGTAAATGTCTTGTATTGTAAGGAACAACATGGAATCATTTATAATTCCTAATGTCACACCTTGGCAATATATCCATTTCTGCCAACTTACCAACAGTCTGCAAATATTTACAAAAATAAATATATAAAATTACTTCTACACTTATCACTCGAACGAGTTTACTTTTCTCATGATATCGTAATGATATGTCATTACTTATGCCACATATGCTATTACGTTTTTTATAATCGTAGAAGCAAGACACTTTTTGAGGTCATGTTTATATATTTGACTTTATATATAAATATATGTGTAATTGAACTGTACAAATCTATGTACGGTTTGTAAATAATTTTACATTTTTTAGAAAATATGTCACTCTCGAATGTTTAGTATTTTTGCAAATATTATAATATTGTATCAAGACTCATGTTCAGATATATAATATTATGTATAATATATCAGTAGAGCAAAGTGTTATACAAACGTCAGTTGGTACTAAAGAAATAGAAAAACGTACTTGTTTTGTGCAGGACTTTGTAAATGCCACTCTAATATATCAGTAAGGTGTTTGTTGCACTTTGAACTATTAAGAATACATGTCCATTTTAACGTTTCGTGATATAATTGAGTATCAATGCTATTCTCGGAAACATTTATATGTGATGTATCTTCAAAAAATTTATTCAAAATTTCTAGTGCTCTATCCTATAAAAAACAGTGTAAAGTGTGTTACTATATGTATTTTGATTAATCTGTAACTCAAAAGGGTAGCCAGCTGTTTTCTTATTTCACAATTACTGTACATCTATAAAGGTTTGTAATTTGTAACAGTTTATATCTCAATATTCTTAATATATGTACGTTTCTAAATGCACACTGGTTTAGTCGTTTTTTTTGGACAATGTTATATATATGTATATTACTTTCTAGTGGGTTGTTCTGTTGTCAGGTGATAAAAAACAAACGGAGAAACCAATGTGTAACGTAAACCATGTTACGAGAAGACTCTTTCATTGAGTGATTTTTTAAGTAAAATTGTGTTTTGACCTTTTCTATTTTGTTCTGTATCAGTGCAATGTAGTATTTACCTTGATTTTTGCGCTTTCTGGAAACGGAAAAAGTTGTGATACATATTGAAGAGCATTAAATATTGGATACCATGTTATGTACCCATTTTNCACGTAAAGTACATTGNCCGCAAGATTGAAAAATGTGTCTATACTACTCATTCCTGCAACAGAATGTTTGTTGTACTTTGTATTTTGTATTAAAAAATAAAAGGCATCGTCGAGAATTTGGGCTAACGTGACGTCAGATACTTCATATATATCCCAATTTTGTGGCTTTCCATTTTTCAGAAGAAAACCAAACTTTTCCCAAAATTTATAATCATAGTTAACGCGATATCCTACAACAAACAAATGTTTAGAGAAAAGTAATACAAAAAACATAGAAAAAGACAAAGAAACAAAGACAGAGAAAGAGAAATAACCAAAGAAAAAAAGCGAGAAAAACAGAAAAAAATAAAAGAATAAACCTTATATTATAAAGAGCAGAGTAAATGTAATACGGTGGTACAAAGTTTGAATATACAATAACAAATACATAGGAATCTACGATAATAACTTGTTTGTATTACCATTTTGGTCTGTGATCACGATAAAATCATCTTCCTCAATATTCAAAACAACGATATCTTTTCTTTCTTGGTCAAGGTACGAGTAATGGTGTGTAATAGACTTATTTTTTGATATTGTTACATAAATTATAGGTATCCACCACTTGTGTTCACACAATTCTTTTTGATTCACTGCGATACAGTCTATAACTTTTATTGTGAGAGACTGTGCGTCATTGTTTCGTGTTACTTGTACTACAGGATAACCATGTTGTGTTATCCAAGACGTTATCACATTTTTTATATTTATAGTCTCTAAACGAATATTTTTATGTATGGCCGGCACAACACGTACATTTTCCCATAGAATATCAAGAATGGACTGTTCATTAAATGTATCACGTGATGTATTCTTACTAATAACAACAAAAAGCATAACACAAAATACATTAAGTGTATGTTTTACCTTTTATAGAAAAATATGCGATACTGTTTTCACGTTACGTATAATGCAACTCATAGTTTACTATACATTTTGTAAGTACTTTAATAATTATTACTTACGTGATAGAATACAATTTTATCGCTTCCTCAAAAATAGAGTTGTATAGAACATTTTTCTTATAAAAGAAATTATTGATCATAGAGAATATACTAAATGCTACAACATAATTTTAATTAATCGAAAGGTATCAAACAATTATCACAAAAGTATGTATATCATATGTATATCCACTTTCATGTTTTTTACATGCAGACAATGATAGGTGTATGTTCTTGTATAGTTTGATAAAATATTCACGAACATTATTTTACATAATTTCATTTTTTGTATTTTTTTGTATTTTTTTTCTTCATAAATTTCGAATATATAGAATGAGATTTTATATCGTTCTGCAGTTTCGTAAGCACTGACTTAAGCAATTAAAAGTTTTAAATTCTTAGTTTTCTTACATTTTTCTTTCCACATGGCACTAAGTGTTACGTTTTGAAAAAATAGATTTTCTTGTATAGGCACACTAGATTCAATATATGCTTGTGTATATTCAAAAACTACTCGTCGTGTCTGGATCGCAATCGACTTCAGTAAAGTTTCATTGTAAATCTATTAACACGGTTTGTATGATTACACATATATCTACTTTAATTTTGTTATTTAGTTTTAAATACAAATATATAGTGTTAAGCTATCCGATTGTTAGTAATTTCAAGAAATAGAAAAAGTTTTCACATATGCAAATTATTAGTAGTAATATCACTAGAAACTTTCTGAAAATATTACAAAAACCAATTGAATATAAAATGGGATACTAAACTCTTTTAACATAGTTTTTGAGATGACTACTCAATATATATATTTTTATCTATCATATCGTTTCGCATATATGTTAGCGGCAAAACCCGAAATCCCCTCATTTTTAGAATTGACTAGTCAATATCCGAAGTAACCAAGCGTTTTGGGCAAAATCAAAAACAGTTCTTTTTTTCGGGTTTTGACACTGTTGTGATTTTAGTCAATTTCAGAAGTAACCAACACGGCTGGTCAAAATTGAAATCTAAAGAATCAAACCTTGAGCTGCGTACCGTTTCGCGCATTTATTTGTACTATACATTACATGTACTATTGATAAACGCGCTTATATGAAACGGAACGCAGGATGTCGGATGTCCGAGATGGGCACAAAATAAATCGGAAAATGTGTCAATCAGACTCAATAGGATAGACTAGTATTAAAACAAGACTAATTCTTTCATGTTCTCTTTATTGATGTTGTAAACGTGTAAACAAAGGGGCTGCTCTTCCTTTGCACCCTCCCTAAAATCTAACCTGACCCTAATCCAAAACTTTTCTTTCTCCACTCTCCCTCGCAAAATTTTCACTCATTTTTATTGATATTTTAGTAACACAAGTTAGGGTTAGGTTAGATTTTAAGGAGGGGGTGCAGGAAGGGGCGCAGCCCCCTCTGCCTACACGTTTACAACACCAACAAAAAGAACATAAAACAATTAGTCTTGTTTTAATACTGGTCTATCCGATCGAGTCTGATTGACACATCTTCCGATTTATTTTGT